TTTTTCCGTTGTGTCCTACCGGTTGTCCGAGGCTCGGCAATAAAGTCCGAGGCTCGGGAATGACCGGGCTACTGGTAGCCTGAGCCAGGGGCCTTAACAACCGGTAGGTACTGGTGGTTTAAGTCACGGTTACACGGTTAAACTGCATTCAACATGCATAAGAGACCTGCAAGTGTTTTTTTTTTTTTTTTTTCCTTTCAATCCGGACCGATCCGGACATGATAATCCGGACCATCCATATCGGTCCGGTGTCCGGGTCCGCGGTAGCCATGCTTTGAATACTAGTAAAGGACTAATTAAACTCTAATCTACAATCGACCATCATTCATTCTTTTTTTGAATTTTTCTCTGATTTTTATCATCATGGATTCTGTCTGTATCAGATCATTAACTTGCGATACACCAGTACTAGTAGTGGTCCTTTCCATCGAAGTTTGCTCAATCTCGCTCATACAACAGTAAAGAGAAAGCGAACAATCGTTATGGATTAACAAACCCCAAAATCTTTAATGCAGCACTCGATGAAGCACCCTTGAGTCCTGCAAGAAGTGAAGGAGAACAAGCCAGCAGTTTCAGAAGATCAGGATCAGGTTCAAAGTACAGGTACAGGTTGAAGTAATAAATAAGGGCACTCAGCTCTGGACATGATTGCAGTCAGCTGCATCCAGGTCTGGCGTAATTGCGGGAAAGTACATTTGAAAAAGTGCTGGTGTGATGTTGCATACTGTAACGGTGCAGACCAGAACAAGAACCGACCTCTCAATACAAAGTACAAGATAGCGTAGCGGAAGACTTAGATACCAATGATCCAAACATTGCGAACAATCAATATTGCAATGCAGCCCTGAACATACGTCATCATCATCATTCCATGGTGTGAAGGGGTCTGGCGCTCACACAGGAAGAATGTGCCAGCCCCAACCATACACAAACGAAGAAGAGGGGGGTTAGACGAAGAAGAGGGGAAGATGGGAATGTTGTCAACACCAAGTCTTTGGCACAGGCCCAAATAGTCCCTCGTCAAAATGTCTGAATCCCAATGTCGAGTCTGGATCCAATGTCGTCAAGGCTCAAGTCACAACTCTCTCTCTCTGTAGTAGTCCGCTGATACTGAGAAGTCAGGTGGTGAGAGGGGAAGAAGAGATGGTGGACTTAGAAGAGGAAGAAGAAGAACTCTCTCTCTCTCTCTCTCT